GTTACTTAGTACATGCTGCCAATAATCTGCAGCACATACTGTTTCATCTTATTATTATATTGTGCATAACAGTATCGACACTATTGGTAATTTATCATGAGACTGCATGAGGCCTTTACAGGCTCAATTCTCTACGAGGGGTTGTGCAACTAGACTAAAACTCCCCAAGATCTGGACCATTTATTGGCAACGAAGTTGTCAATTTTAATTGAAACGAAGTTTGTTTTTAATTCAAGAAGTATACATAGTAGAATCCAACCCCGCTAGCGAAATCTTGGCGCGGGCAGGCCATGTGACTTGAGAGCAGCCACGTGATTGTGTTTATGCGAGCAGTTGAACTGTTTACTTATCCGTTGAACTCTTACTAGTCTCATGCCAAGACGGGTATATATACTACGTGCAGAATGCGCGCTTTCGCAGCTTATATGTATAGTATATATTTTAAATCTATCGAGGCGTTGCCACACCAGGACAACTCCGCGTTGGCCTCAGTTACCTTGTCTTTTAAGCATTTTGAAGACTTCTAAAGCACTGTGAATTACCCGTTAGGGAGCCCAAAGGAAACAAGACTAGGTTAACAACAAAAGTCTGTTGGTTATTTCGACTCTCTAAGTAACTACTGCATCAACAAGAGTAACTCTCTAGCCAATTCGTAAACGTGATACATACGTAAATCACGGCGCTCCCACAAAATGAAATACAGCAGTTAAATCGGTCTAGGCGCGAAAGCAACAGCTGTGGCTTTTCTCCTGTGGCTCTTTTTTCAACTCTAAATGGATGACCATGACAAATATGTACTAGGAAGGAACATTACAGCGCGGGTTGTCAAAACATACTTTACTTAAATAGTCTTTAGGAAGATTTATGCATCTTTTTTTTAATTTTTTTTTTAAAGATTTATGCATCGCACCATCACAAGAGCGCACAGTTATAAATATTATGACAATCCTAAACATTCATACACCTTGTACAGAAAACCAAAAATCTCAAACAATCAAACAGTTCTCATAAAAACCCAGCCAAAAGCTCTTTTTCCAATTCAATTCTCCTTCGAACGATGGCCGATTTAGAACTTTGCTTGTCGGCAGCTGATCCCGGTGATCATTGCTGCTCACAAAATCACGCCCTATTCTTCATCTCCATAGACTGCATATAGGTAAGAGTTGCCCCTTGGTAAATCGTCCATAGCGGTATATGCAGTCCTTTTGATAACCCGGATCTTGAACGGCAAGGTGCTTATATCCTTCCAGGTCTTTACCCTTCCTTTTGGCCCCAGGACCAATTTCTGATTTCGTTTTAACCTCGCCTTGGTGTTGGTGCTCAAGCTCAAGCTCTTCACCGTGGAACACTCTCCCAGCTTGCTCTTCCTTATAGTCTCCTGGGAGCACTGTCCTCTTTGGAGCAAGCTGGGGATCACCGGGGAGAGGAGCATTGCGAGGCCGTATTTTTGGAGATAACGTGCGGCTTTAGTTTGCCGGATGGCAGTTTTTAGTTCTTGCACTCTGGAGGAGGCAACAGGTGCGAGTGGCGGTAGGATATTTGCCTTACGTGCCACCGCTTTATTTGGCAATTTCGACGCACTTTGACTGGATGTGGTTGGGATATTACGACTCACGGTCGCAATTATCGGTGCAGATTGACGAGTCACGACCAATGTATTTGCCATCATAGGCAACCAGTTGACCGGTTGATTGAGAGAATTTGCGAGTCTCCACCGAATTATTTGCCATTGTAGCAGATTGGCCGGTCGGTAGAGAGGATTTACGAGTCATGGAAGCACTACTTGCCGGCCTGGTATTCTTGTTAAAAAGAGGTTTGTTTGCAGTGGAAGCTACTTTTTTTTGTAGGCTGGAGGTGAGCTTTGGATGACGATTTTCATTCATTCCCCTTTCTCGGAGAAGAGCTGCGCGGGACTCTTATCCAACAGCCTGTTTTGTTCGAAGAATCGTGAAATCCTTTGCTGTCAAACACTGTGATAGCGGGGGTTTGTAGCTCTTGATCGCCTGTACTGGTGATATAAGCGGACTCGCATCTGAGTGGATGTAACTGCGGGACTGTGACAGAGACTATGGACGGGGCTTTTCTTTTTTTTTAAACTCAGTACTCGTATGCACAACCCTAAGGGTCGTATGACGAGTATGGACGGGGCTCCAGGAAGCGCTACTGATTAAGGACTATGAGGTTCAAGGAGGAACGATATGTATTAGTACGGCTAGAATACAAGATGTTGCGTGAAAAGAGAGAGAGAGAGAGAGAGAGAGAGAGAGGAGGACGAAGGGAAACTTTTGCTCACTTGGGACTTCAGGACGAAGATATTGGACTTCATTCCCACCGGCAGCTCCCCCAGTACTGCACTGATGAAGGGCTTGTTAGAATCTGGTCGGTGGAGCCCAGGCACAACGGGGATTCAGGATTTAAAGCCGGTGATAGTATTCTCCCTCTTGATAATAGGAGTAGACATAGTTGTTTTGATAGAAATAAGTGTTGTTTACAAGGTTATGTAGTCTGGTTGGCACAAGCCGCTCGTAGAGCGAAGGATATGTGTAGGTGGGTTCTTTGCTCAGAGGTATTGAGGAACAGAAGATGAGGACAAGTCGAGAGGGACATCCAGTCGCTGAGAGCTCTGTGGCGGGCATTACTAAGGGACTTTAGTGGGAGCGGCGGGCTTGGCTCTAGATGTCTGCTTCGTACTAAGCTTACCTCGTTAGGAAATAAGTACCCACTCAAGTGTTAGTCTGGTTGGTCAGGTGTAGGCACGAGACAGTCTGGCGTAGCGAGGCATAGATTACTCAGGTGCCTAGGCTCTTTGGCCCAGCACGACTTCTTTCTTATGTAAGTAGCGCGATATGCCAAGCATACATTCGTCACTCCGTCGATTTACCATTTATGTGAAATCACCGGTAAGATTAGGTATGTACGAGGTTATGAGTGATTGGAATATTGAAGTGACACAGAAATGGAATTAGTTATGTATCTCGCTAGCTACCTAATCTCGTGATCTCATATACAAGGTGCGCAGTGTCTCCACAGGCTGGGCAACCAGGGCAGTAAAGACCGGAGATACCACTATCAGAAGGGGGTTAGAGACTACTACAGAAGGGAAAACCAACTGGTATGATGGCATAGGCCTCCCGAATCTCGACTTCGCAGGTCCAATCCACGCGGCCTTCTTCCTGGCAGGAGCAGCACCAGAGGAATTATCCTTCGGAAACAGAGATGACCACCGCCAGGCTCCAATCACCCACATAGACATAATACCCACCGACAGTGCTAGATCGCAGTGGGTACTCCCTGGCTTTCACAGATGGAACCGGGGGAAAAAGCAGAGAAGTGGCAGTGGCGGCAGTTACACATGAGTCTGAGGAGGGCAAATTCCTGGGAACCCTCGCCACGGTTGCCGATGGAGAAGGGAAAGGGATTGCGTTAGCCCTTCATTGTTCAATGCGATACTAACAAACTTTTAGTCCTGACAGACTCCATGGCGAGCAAACAAGCCCTCCTCAACTTGAGCAAGGGCGCCCCACCCAGGTCGAACATCGAGAAGGATCTGAAGGACCTCCTCCACAAACAGGCGTTGCAGGAGACAGCCATAGGCTGGGTGCGAAACCACATTGGCGTCCAGGCAAAGAAAAGGCAGAGAGGAAGGCAGCCTACGAGTTAGCTCTAGGTCGCATCGCCGGAAGCCAGCAGGTAGCAACAGCAGCAGGCATCAGGTCGGCAGCCAAAGCCAGAAGGAAAGACCACCGCTCGGAACCAGGGTTCGGAATCAACAGGTGCCTTTAGCCCAGACACGCCCTGTCCACCTACACCTGGCTACACACCAATCGAGGCCCCTTTAATCAATGGCTGCACACAGTCCGAAAAGCGGACTCACCAGCCTGCTCATACTGCGGCCATTCCCAGGAGGACGGCTACCATGTCACCTTTGACTGCCCCCAAGACCGCCAGCAACGCCAGGAGTTGATAGGAGATATTAGGACGTGAGAGGAGCTAGACGCACCTAGGTGGAAGAAGGAGGGGAGAGAGGAGGAAGAGTGAGATGCGGTGGAGGTATATTTCGCATACCTCCACCGCTCCCTCCCTGGACGTTACCTAGGAGAGACACCGGTTACGCATATTCGAGTTTTGCCGCGTTGTGTTTTTTTTTCTTTTTCTCCATGTTCGGGCTTCTTGGTGTACGTAGTTCGCGCAGGGTAGTCAGACTTACTGTCTGTCCCTTGAATCCACCCGGGTTTCCGGTGTGGCTCGTCATGCGACCCTTAAAGTTGCACACACGGGATTGAGTTCAAAAAAAAAAAAAAAAAAAGATGCGCAGCGCCTAGTCTGTTGAATAACCCCTCCGTGCAGCGCCATAGACTGCGCATATCATATGTTCGTGGTTTATGAGAGTATTTCCTTCATTACATACACTCCACTAAGTCTGGTTGCACCACTTCACCGTAAGAATTCACGAAGCGCGCCTAGCAAATGATCTAACAATTGGTGTCAAACCACTTAATACAGTGTTTAATTAGGTATAGCCAGTGGAAAAGAGCTTATGAATGGCCAAATATATCGTATGCCTGCTGTAGGTAAACCTATATAACGACCGGCAATGTGACATCTCGAGATATAGGATAGTAAAGGTAACTCTCGAGATGTCTTGTGACTTTCTGTTGGGGTCATGAGGGTGCTGTGTTTAATTAGGCCAGGCATAATTATGAGGTTGTCATTCTCATTTACTGGACGTTTGATAATCACGTCCTAGATTCCAAAGGTTTGAAATCCCAACTGGATAATCACACAAATCTTTGAAGAACATACATAGGAGATTGAACATGCCTAGAACACATGCAAAAAGTGTAATACCCCTAGTTTACTGGGGAACTAGTGCAAGACAGACAAGTATTAATACCCCTGTTAAGAGGACTACTAACTTCGGCGCGGCTTGGTGAGCAGCCGCACTTACATCACTCCCGACTAAAAAAGGAAATATTGAAAAGCAAAAGGAAAAAACGAGAAGCCAGCGCTTGGATTTGAACCAAGGTCTCCCGCACCATAATGGTGCACATCCCACTTAGGGATCGGGTGTCATACCAATTAGACCACGCTCGCTGCTTATCTATAATCAATGAAGAAATCCCAATATAATGAAGGATATTGGTGCAACTGGGCATATTTGTACTACTAGGAAGTGCAAAGCATATAAAGAAGTAATCTAAAATAGATGGAGGATACTAGTCTGTCTTCAGGGACTTTATGAAGGGCCAATATTCTGGGGCAACTGACTACAGTATATCATAAGACAATTGCATTACAGGAGACATGAGATGAATGATCAACACTTTAGGAAGTGTCTAAAATGTACGAGAATCGAATACTCATTGATGAATGCAAACAGTAACTTAGTTCTTCAACAAATACATTGGAGTGAGACTGGCTTAGGTGTTAGTTTGGTAGGCTGATAGAACTGGCACCGAAGCCAAGAATATTTACCCTGGCTGGGACTCATGTGGTTTGGGCGGTCTGCTAACCTACATATCTAGGTACTTACTGTAGGTATTTTTTGGTCAGCGGTACTTCAGTACGACACGGGGTAATACAATCACGGGGATCTGCATCAGCCACCATGTGATCTCTGTATGTATATTGGTAAGCGGGGGTTTTTAGGCAGGGAATATTTCAATAGAACAAGACTAGGTACAAATACGCAAGGAGGTTCTTTTGGTGACTACTTGTAGCTAAGGATAATGTTCTGCAAAATGGGCAAGTTAAAGAAGCGCACAAATGGTTCTGGAGCAGGGTCTTTAGGAAGAGACTGGGAAGAGGCCTTGCAACAGGTAATAAAGATAATGAATGATGTTTTTTTTACGCGCATGTTGCGAGCTGCTGACGTATATGAGGTTCATTATTCAACTTTACGTAGGGGCTTAAGGGTGGACATTTCTCAGAAGGCAGTATATATGAAGCAACATTGCATTCACCAGTGAGTGGGAAGGGAATTGTAAGGCGGGTTTTGTACAGATGGAAGGGTTTGGACTTCCTAGCACTCATGTTAAGGAAGCAATAATTCTACTTAAGGATGGTACTGGAAATTATAGTGCAAAATTGGGCATATTTATCTTACCCGAGTTTTGGACAGGCATTCAGAGATTGTAGCAAAGCCCAACAGTTTATGATATTTATTTGATAAGCAGCTGATGAAAGTGACAGGGCCTGAGATAATTCAACTTCGCTCATATTCAACAAGCTTGACTAAAATATAGTACCACTGAGGCCGATATGTACAGCATAGATGATAAGGGATTGCTTCAGGAGGTATATCGGATAAAGCTAAAGTTATTTCCTGTGTTTGACGAAAGAGTAGAATGGCAGGCAAGATGAGGCCTGGTTACCAATAGCTGTTGCGGATACAATTTCCTTTAGCAGTGATAGTCTTCCCCCCCGCTTGTTATTTGCAAAGTGGTTAGTAATTACGTGAGGTAGTATCAAGAATTCGATACGGAGAAGTATAGTGGAAATGCGCATAACAAAGGTGGAATAATCGTGAATTGAGCATTGTGTTATTTAAAAATCTCGATATCATGACTGGGACTTGCTTCTCAACAACCAAGCAATACAGACTCTTGATTCTTGATGGGTATGGAATTCATTTTCAGTTAGAAACCATAAAGTACTATTTGGCTAAAGGCATCATTTACTATTGCTTACCACTATATTCTATTCATTTGTTATAGTTATTAGATGTTGGAAATTTCAGTCTACTATAACAATATAGGGCAAGGAAGTTGATAGGCTGGTCAGGTATGGCAGCGGACATATACCTAGGACAATATTATATCTTCTCATCCCACCTAATCTGTTCACGTGCCCCCTCACTATTCATCTTAAATTCCCTATCATCAGACAAAAAGCACCGCCACTTGTATCAGCACCATTGGACTCCAAGCTAATTTATATAGCGCGCCAGGGTAAGCCTTTCCTTAAGCTAACACTAGATCTACTACTGCTGGATCTACCTATAGAACTGGCTGATTGAGTAGAACGGTTTGCAGTCCGGGTATACCATAACCTCTAACTTGAATGAGACCTCAATCAAAAATGGAGAGAATTCTGCTCCAAACGCCCGTAAGAAGTTAGAAACGCAAGCTATTGGTAGCAAATTTCTGGGCACTGCTACTGTTAAGTTGTAGGAAAGAGACAAAGCCTTGATAGCAAGGGGGTTCGCAGTGGTGGTGTGCCCCAACTGAGGCACAAGGGCAAAGAGGTTCAATTTAAGATATCAGTACAGAATCCGTCCTGAATCCCCTCAGTGTTACGGCTGACTGTGGACAAGGGTTAGAGGATTGGAACGATGATTTGAATATTGGTTTTGATGATTCATCCATGCGGTCCATTATCATCGTCGCTACACCAGTAGTCTCATGCCAAGACCCTACTGCTTAGAGTTCTACGTCAGTAGGGTCTTGGCATGAGTCTAACACCAGGTCGTCTGAGGCATTTCCCTCCTCCAATGGCCTCCACTCCTGTCCCTAAGTCCTTTACTCGTACCGAGATCTCAATTCACTGCCCACTGTTATGTAGCTAGATTCGCAAGTAGTTTAGCTCCCGGTGAAATTGATGCATTTCCCCGTGATAGTTGCATTACTCGGAGTGTACGGCGCAAGCACGAGAGGCTTGTGCCAACCAGCTTTCAGAATCAAACTTGCAAGCGACAGACGCTGCAGACTCTGGGCAGTGCAAACCAAGCTACACCGAGCAGGAAGTCTGGCTGAGCAGGGTGTTGTGCCAACCAGGCTAGGTAGTCTGGTTGGCACAAGCCCCCCACAGGCTAGGGTACCTCACTCCTTCCCGAAATGTAGACAGCTATCGATAAGTACAGGACAACTACCTCTACTTAATAAACCCACAAGTACTGAAGCATCACACACCATCCTCTTTCAACGCACTCTCACTCTTCGGTTGGCAGCCAGACTAGTTTACTTCTATCTATCCGCCGCCTCACGTTATTACATTCAGTATAATGTCAAACACCAAAGCACCAAGCGCTGGCCCATCTAGTGCTCTCGCTCGCAATACTTCTATGAACAACAATCCGGTACAGGGAATGCAGGGAGGACTGCCAGGTATGTATTTCCTAGCCTTGAGCCCGCTGTTTTTCATAATCTCATAACCAAACCTGGTCATACCCTTCAATTTCATTACTGACAGATAAGTTTAAGTCCTGCAACCCATGCCTGTCCTGCAGCTAGGCCTCCCTGCCAATTCTACATTTACAAACTGTACCATCCACATTAATGGCAATCCACTTACGCCTATTACTTGCGAAAACCCACAGATAAATACTTTTATCTCCATTAAGGATGCCGCCACACCTTCGGAAGGACCCCAAGTCGATCCTTCCCCCTCTCCGGAAGGAGCGGTCAGACTTAATCCTGCTTCGCCTGAGGCTGTCGAACTTCCGGCCAGGCTAGTTTCGGCAGCTGAGGTTCTTCAACCCTCCGTAGCACTCAAGGAAAACCAGGGGCATTCAGCGTATGAAGAAGCCCAACGAGATGCCCTAGTTCGACTAATTATGTACGTGGATCAACTCGGAAAATCTACCACCCTCGCACTCCAAAACGAAGAGAAACGTCTCCGTGAGCGCATGAAAATCACTGCGGGAGTACACCCCCACCAGCTACGTCTCCCAGATCAATATGACTTTATTTTTGGTTATTTGATCGAGGTGGTCATGACAAGGAAGGGTTTGTAGTGAGAGGGGTTTTTATACCTTGGGCTCAACTGCAATGGGCCTGGGAGTTTGGACAGCGAAGGCATGCCGGGATTGATAGGGAATTTACTAGGTAGAGGGAGTCTGGGGACATGTATGAGACAGGGGTGGTGAGATCCTGGTATCATATATTGCGTTGTTTACGTTCTTCCTGTTTTCTTTACCGATGTTAACCTAGGCTCTGGCATGGAACACGAATGGCCTTCTGAAGGCGGATTCCGGGGATATCAGCCAGCTATGCCATAGGCCCGTTTGGGCTTTGGGGCAAATAGTAATAGCTTTTGCATTTGGGTTTGAACAATTTTTCCTGCTTTACCGGTGGTTCTCCCAGACACCGCAAGACTAATCTAACTGTATTTAGCTTTCAATACACTGAATTTTGTGCTGAATATAGAATAGGTGCTTCTGGCGGAAGTGAAATGAAAGGCATTCCTAATTACATTCCTAAGTAAGTGAGTGGTGCCGAGGGAGGACAGCATTTATATTTTTACTTTTGTTCTACCTTCCCCGCTGTAAAGGCGTGGCTGTGACAGTGACTAAGGACAGGCTCCAGGGAGCGCTACTGTGACCAGTGATTATGGAAGGGAGGAGAGGTTCAAGGAGGAATGATATGTATTAGCACGGCTAGAATACAAGAAGTTGCGTGATAAAAGAGAGAGAGAAGGGAAGAACAAGAGAGAGGCAGTGTCTTTTATAGACTCCTGGCCTGGGAATGGCTCCACCAATTGTTGCCCTATTACGTGTGAACACACGCATATATACCGTCACATGGTCAGCCCGCATGAACCAATAGCATTCTGCCGACCTATAGGAAAGGAGCCGTGACACCCGCACGAGTTCATATCTATGGCTGCGGAACTGCCTCCGTGCAAGTTAACAATTAGCGGGTTAGGCATCCAAACGCGCACCATGCTTCCGCACATGTCATAGTTCTTTGTCAATTGCTAGGTAGTACGGAATCTTTTCGACCCATATTCAGGGTAACTGACACAAGGACAATTGAAATTTTATAATCCATGTCTTGGAAAAATGTATGGGAGGTGCATCTTTGATTGCTTTTACTGAAGAAATGTATCTTCGGCGTGCACTCTTCGGAGTGTAAAGACTATATTCGCAGAGCTAACTGGCTAGAGAGGATGATGATAAAAAAGAGAACAGACGTAGGAAATCCCATCTTAAATACCCTTTCCTCCTTCCCCATGATCGGTCGATTCCTTTTCCTCACATGTCAATACCAGACTCAGCTGACAACAACATGCACTTCCTCAATGCGGTCATCCTGCGGACTACACTATCCGAATGCAGTCATGCCTTAGTCGACCTATCATCCTGATTCAACATT